AAATTCTAAACAATACCTATGAAAACCAAAGGAAAACACTTAGAGAAAGCCACATGGACAAATTTTCCCATTTGTTGCAACCAATTTTTTTTTTTTTTTTTGTTAGCAAGGATATGTTTGAGGGTATAACTTAAGTCAGGAGTCTACAAAGGAACTACAAAGGATTTAGACTCTTTATAAATCAAATTTTAAATTCTAGGACAACTATCTCTATTTCTAAAATCACAATCCAGTAACCCACTTATATTCCAAGCTTTAGGGTAAGAAATGTCTAGAAAAACTAAGGCCATTGTAAACTGAAATCTCTAGCTTGAGCTTAAGACCATCATAAAATTGATGGAGGAAGAACAACACATAACACCTTACAAAGTCAAGGTTTTTAACAGGATCCGATAACCTGGCATAATTAGATGATAACTAAGGGACACGTATTAGATACAATAACTTGGCAAGAATTTAAGGACAATTATGACTAAAACTTCTAACTCAACAGAGGCATAGAGAGAATGAATGTATGCACGCTAGTATAGATGAGTGCATGTATGAATGGGAGCCCATATAGATATATATGTGCATGCACCTATAAATGCCTTTATGTTCATGCTTATATGTGTATACATGCATATATGTGTAGTATGCATGTATCACTACTTGGATGAATACTAGAATAGAAGAATGCAATGTAAAATGCATTAGAATTCAACTACAAAATGACATTAACAAGGAATCAGGATCAAGTTTAACCAAGCGGTCATAACAAAGAGGCAATATTTAACCATGAGTTAAGTAATAAGATTGAGATTTAACTCATACGAAGATTTCAATAATGACAACTATAACAAAGATTCAAAAGCAGATATAGCTAGGACATCAAGATCAAGTGTCTTAAGTACTCATAATTAATTAATGAAACAAAACCATGGTTGGCACCAAGATACTTAGAAGGTTAATATCTTAATAATTAAAAAGCAGAGTATGAATTAGAGTAAACAGATAAAAGAACCATTTTCTTAAAATAGAACTCTAGAGCACTAGGTATTTTGAAGACTACCCATTTCACATGGTAGTTCATAGAGGTTAAATAAGTCTACAACAGAGTCATTCCTAGAATCAAGTCAAAACCATGGACATCAAGAACATAGAGGTTAGCACTTGCAAGAGATAGGAATTAGGATGCTTCTATAGATATCTCTAGTAATTGTCACCTATCTTAAAGAGGTTTCCATATAGAACTTTGAATCCATAAATTAACAAGAATATATACATACAAAAATTGGGATAGTGTAGAACTTAGAATTTGAGCAGGAACAAGTTTCAGAACAAAAATAGTTTTCAAGGACAAGTTCAAAAATAGATTCCAAAATCAAGTATCAATCGATTTTCTACATTAACATATTTCAAGCTAACTTTAAGAATTGGTTCCAATTAGAATGCAAGTAGCAATTTTAAGCAAGTATCAAGATAACAAGAATTCTACAAGTCATAATTTATTTTTGAATATCAATACTCAAGAACAAGAACCAAAGAAATCTCAAGAAAATTTTTAAGAATAGATTTCAAGGGGTTTAACAAGCAATTCCAACAAGTATAAAAAATTCCTTCAATTAATTCATATTCAATTAATGAATCCTAGTAAGTGTAGATTATCAAGATGGATCAAGTTTTAGAGACTAGAGTTGATAAGCATAGCGAGCAAGAATAATTTCAAGAATTGTCACCATATAAAGCTAGATAATAGGAACTAACAAGATTACCATCTTATCAAAACGAGTCAAGAAAATTCAAGAAACAAGAATTAGGATCATCCCTTGTATAACCCAATCACTTCTCTCACCACAGTCCCAAAGTCCATTTTATTTCAAGTTTTGTTTTTTTTTTGCCCCAAGTATTGTGTTAAAACTTGTGCTCTGATACCACAAAACTTGTTACGGTCCAAAACCAGGAGTGAAATAGACACCGAACACCTATAAGTGAGTCCCAAAAGTGTATAAGGCTTGCAATTAGTTTAATATAATATGCAATAATCTAAATCTTCTAATAGTCCACTTAAATCCATAAAAAGAAATAACTTACATGATCTAAAATCTAATCTCAAACCACTAATAAGTGAACTAGTCAATTGACACACCACGTGC